AAAACAAAACAAATAAGTTCAGAAATTAAGTTATGTGTATAGTCTCTCCATACAGGAGGTGTCTTGAAGCTGTCATTACCAACAAAGGCTTTTGTACAAAGTATTACAGTATTACAAATCTTTTTTTCACCAATTTCAGAACTTCTAGACACGGCAGCTTTTGTTGTGGTTCTACACATTCATACATCATTGTAACAGACTAGAGAGATAAATACAGACACTGGATTCATTAAACAACAACTGAAAATGATTGATGAAATAATCAACTCACAACAGGTTTTTTTTTATTTTTTTAAATATATTTCTCATTGATGTTTTCATCAGCTTCCAGCTCTATCACCCTCTAAAAAGACATTTACTGTATTGTAGGGAAAAAAAAATACTGATAACAATCATAAATTATTTTTCAGATGTAACGTGAGAGTTGCATTTTGAAATAGTAATACTTTGATGTTGTGTCATTTTGAACCGGTGATTTTAGTTAAATGAACAGAGTGTGTATAGTATCCAAGCATTTGGAAAAAGTGTTAAGTGTTTTGAAAAATGTGCATTTTGATAATCGGTTGTGAATTATGTGTCTAGAGTTTTGAAAAATGACATGAAGGTTCTGTTATTAGTGCAAAAATTATTGTAAAACTGTAAATAAATTTCAGTAGTTCAGTACTTTTTCCCTGTGTCATTCTATTTTATTACACAGAACTTAATTTCTGAACTTATTTGTTTTGTTTTCTTTGTATGTATGGATTTCTTGGGTTGTTACTGACATCTGGTGAAAATTTCATGTCAACAGCACCTTTAGAAATATATTTACTGAGAAAAATGGTGACGTGTTCAATACTTATTTTACCCGCTGTATTAATACTAAAATTTTTGTGCATTTTACACGTGCTGATTCAGGCTAAACTGAACTATTTTGACTTCTGAAATATACAAAATGTAACAAAAATTTTAAAAATTATTTAGAATAATTAATAATTTATGACTGTTTAATTCTTAGGATTTGTAACATAAAAAAAATAAAACATTAAGACATTTAAAAAAAAAAAAAGAA